AAAAAAAAAAAAAAAGCATTAGGCACTGGAAACCAGCAGGTGCTCAAGAAGTGGTGATTGTTACTTTACCATTATTTTCTCTCCTATGTTGCTTGTCCAGAACATTCCAGGTGGGCAACCTCCTCTCTCTCTCTATAACTGGCACTCCTGCTTGACAAGCCCAGGCACAGAATCACCTTGCCTAACACAGTACCTAACATGAGCCACAAACTCAATTAAATGTTTGTGATAACGACCATGGAATGAGAAATATTTGCAGAGTGTCCAAGAAACCTTCAGAGAATTAAAGCAGAGGGTAAATTGTTCAGTTCTTTCCTTCCCTCTCTACAAAGACACCCAAGCTGGCTACTGTTCCAGAATAACTGGAGGGCTGAAAATAGCCTCCTTTTTCCATTACTAAAGAGCAAGATGACCTTTCTTAAAATTCACCCAGGCATTACTCATTGAACATTTTCTATTATACTTATCACTACTCTTTATAATGAAAATATCACTTTGAGAAAATCAGACTTAATAAGATGATTCCAAGTTTTATTGAATATGCTTTACAAATGGGCATTTTGATTGACATATCCAGGCTTACTACAAATCAAAAAAACAAAACTTAATTTTAAAACCTAAAGCAATCTTCTTGTTTCTAAAACCTTATAGAACAGCCTAAAGTCTCTTTCTTCCAGTACTTCCTTTTTTTTTTTTTTAAGCAAGGAGAGAATGATCCATGCAATCACAGGTGAGAGCAGAAGACATTAATGTCAATTTTGTTTAGTTTAACTTCCAACACTTCTTGACTTTAATGAAGTCACTGAAGCCTGGTTCAGGCTACCTTCTCTTCAGAAAGAACCTAAGATACTGTTGTTTTTTGTTTGTTTGTTTGTTTGTTTCCCCAGATCCTCCCATTACAAAGCTCCACCTTGACCACCACAATGAGGATAAGTGGAAAATACATCAGACTTAATGCCAGAAAATATGTTCAAATCAAGACAGTGATACTTCCTAGCTATGTATTAGAGCAAATCAACATGTCTCTATCCTCATCTGCAAAATGAGGATAACAGCATTTACCTTGCAGGATTGTTTTGAAAACTAAAAGAGAAAATATGTAGGTGTAATTTATAAATTATAAAGCACCATTAAAATGTAAGGTAGCATTATTATTCGTGTATGAAGATGGTTCATTCATTTTTCAATGAATATTTATGTGGTAGACTTTTTGCTAAGCATTAATGATACAAATAAATTATATATATATATATATATATATATATATATCATTATATATATATAACTCATTGGCACTTGAGCTCTTATAGTCCAGTAGGGAAGAAGCATGTGAAGGTGGAGAGAAGCATGCTTTGATGTGGCTATAGGTGCTAGGGAGCCAGAGAGAACACTTGGACTGGGGTGTGGAAAGTGAGGGTGTTCAGGGGACTTCTTGGAGAGGTGACACTGGAATTGTTTCACTACAAATTCAAAAGCAAGAAAACAAATCCAAGTCACTCCTCTGTGAGGTGGTCCACATAATCCATGGTCCTGGGGCCCAAGTCATTTCAAAGGTGTCCTGATCCCTTAAGGCAGAGTTTCTCAGTCTTGGTACAACTGATATTTTAGGCTGGATAATTCCATGTTGTGGGGGGGGCTATCCTGTGCACCGTAAAATGTTTGGCGTCATCCCTGACCTCCATCTACCAGATGCCAATAATATCCCCTTATCTTCCAGATTTGAAACCAAAAGCATCCCTGGACACTGCCAAATGGCCCCTCAGGGGCAAAACTGCCCCTAGTTGAGAACTACTGCCATAAGGTCATAGAAAACCAGTGCAGGCGGTTCTAGAAGGAATGGAATTCATACAATTAGTGCCTAGGCTTATTCTAGGTGCTCAAAAAATATTGAATGAATGAATAAGTGGAGTCAATGAATGAATGAGCTTCCTGGAGTCCCCTTGACATATTCCTTTTGGGATCCATCCAGAAGATCCCTGGGCTAGTAATTAAGTTCAAAAGTACCCACGTGAGTAATAACAATAACACAACATGCATTTATACAGTGCTCCTTAAAAATTGTGTGATCTTGGGCAAGTAGTTCAAACTGTCTGAGTCTCAAGTCTACCAGTTCTTGTTCTTTTTTTTTTTTTTCAGAGATTTTTAAGTAATCTCCACACCCACCATGGGGCTCAAACTCACAACCCCGAGACCAAGAGTCACATGCTTTACCGACTGAGCCAGCCAAGCGCCCCAGGTCTGCCAGTTCTTATGTGGAGATAACAAACCCTAGCTTGCAAGGCCATTGGGAGAACCAAATGAGATAATCAAGCATTAGAGGTCTAAGCACTCACTCCTTCGTTGCAACTGATAAGAGGACTCTTAGCAAGATGCCCCCCCCACCCAGCTCCTGCCACTAAGCTTTACCTGTAAGAAGGACAAGGAGGGTAGTTGGAGTGTATACTTTTTTGGTTATAAACATGTGGGGAATACTGAACACTGTGCCAGGACCTGACACATCCACTATCTAACTCACCCTTGCAAGCAACCAGGTTAGTTAAGAGGCCCAGAGAGTTGTGACATGCCCAGGATCACACAGCTAAATAAGTGCCTCCCTGAAAGCGAAAGCCTCAGCCACCACTGAGGGCTGACCTTCATCACACCAATGCTTGTTTGGATTGTGAGTTTTTGGGGAAATGCTTTCTGTATTCTGTGTTCTGTAGTTTCTTATAGACATACATGACCAGATCGGGAAAATTCTTCTGCAAATACTGGAAAGGTTCTCCAATTCTCGACCTCATCCTGAAATGAAACATAAATGTATTAGCATGGTGGTCCCCAGATCATCTTCCCCCTTTATAGCATCTGGGCCCGGAGATCTCTTTGCTCCCTCAATTTCTAGAGCAGAGCACGTCAGGACTTTGGAATCCGACAGAACAAGATTCATCTCCTAACAACTCTTCAGCTAATTGGCAACTTATTTGTGAACCCCAGTTTTATCATTCATAACATGGAGATGATATAGTTCCACAATCTCTTACCTACAGTTCCAAAATCCAAAAGAGCCCTGAAAACTGCAAGGTTTTTTGAGTTTGCAGCTACCATTTTGGGCAGCAAAAGCTGATTTTACTAATACGGGTCTACTTTTTAGACATTTACCGTGCTACATTCACCTTACCCAGCTGCCCAGTCCCCTGCACTGCTTCCCACGAGGGAGTCACTACCCTTCTGTTCAAGAGGGCTCAGCAAAAAGCTAAGAAGGAAGATGAGAACCTGCCAGGCACATCCAACATTCATTGTTCTGACAATGTGTTGGCCCTTTTCCAAACAGAGGGAAGGAATTACTTTTCATTTCATCAAAACAAATTTCTTCTTTCTAACAAATAGCAGATATAAATTTAGAATGGGATTTTTTAATCATCCTCATTTCATATATGGCTTACAGGAACAGAAATAATACTCACTCCTTATTTTTTTCTTCATTAATGTGTTCTCCCAGATTCCGGATGAACTTTAGCAGATCATGCACAGTGTCCTTATAGGTGTACTTTTTCTTTTTATAAAACTTATTCATTTCTTCCATAACATACTTGTCAATCTAAAAAAAAACATTATGCAAAAAATGTGGTAGCACTACAGAATAAATCCTAATGAGATGTTAATACAAAGAGGCAAAATACAAATTTGAATATATGCCCAATTTACCACTAATTAATAAAGCAAATTAATAGAAAGAAATGAATGGAAGTAAATACTATACAGTAATGGTGTCTGGATGCAGGATCATAAGGAACTCTACATTCCAGTCTCTCTTTTCCAAGTGAACTATTTTCATGAGAAATTAAATATATTGAAACATGGTTTAGGAATTCTTTGGCTGTTATACCAGGAAATTTGCTCATCATGCTATGCAGTATTTTTATCCTTGCAGTGACCCATCCGAGTTGGTAACTGATTACATTTCCCCCTTGAAGAGGATTCATTCAGACTAACAATAGACCTGACAGCCATTGCCGAAGCGAGGGTGGTTGTTTTTGTTCGGTTTTGTTTTGAATTCTATTTCCAAAGGTCTCATGTTTCTCCTTGCCTCTAAGTGTCCCAGAGCAGCTTCTCTCAAGTCAACGCCTCTCTCTACACCCTTGTCGATGGCTGTCATATTTAGAAAGCCTGTCTGTGTGGCAGGACAGGGTGGCCTGTGGAGAGGAGGCAGCAGCAAACACTGGAAAACCTGGCTCCTCCACACCGCCACAAAGCTGAACGTCCAACCGTGAAAATGCGCAAGTCACGAAAAGCAACAGAAAATCAAAGTCTCACATGGGAACTAACAGATAAGACTTGAGTCTGTCAAAATTCAATATAAGTCAATGAAGTTTAGGGGAAAGAACTGATGAACTGGGAAACGAAAGAACAGGTTTTCCTCCCGGTTCTGCCAATCTCTGCCTCTCCAGTCCTGGCTATTTCAGGTCACACCTCTGAGTCTCAACGTGCTCAACCATTAAATGGATTGGTGGACTCGATGGCACCAGCTCTTCCTGCAGGGAGTGGCTTTAGCACACGGCCTCGGCAGCCAGACTGCCCAGCAGCAGACTCTGGGGCTGGCTCTGGACCGTTGGAAAAAGTGATTTGTCTATGCCTCCATGGGCCCACCTGTGACACGGAGGCAATTAGCTCAGAGGTTGTTATAAGGATTAACTGTGGAGACTCATAAAGCCCTGGGAATGGTAACTGCCATATAGTCAGCACTAGAGAATTGTCAGCTATTACTGTCATCGGCTTTGGTTTCAGACTTCTCTATTTCTGCAAGTTTTAGAAGAGGCTTTTTTTTTTTTTAATTTTATTTATTTATTTGAGAGAGAGCACGAGCAGGCTGAAGGGGCAGAGGGAGAGGGCAAAACAGGCTTCCCGCTGAGCAAGGAGCCAGGCACGGGGCTCGATCCCAGGACCCTGAGATCATGACCTGAGCCCAAGGCAGACGCTTAACCTACTGAGCCACCCAGGCGCCCCTTAGCTGAAGTTTTATAGACATTCATTAGCAGAGTCATGGTGCACCTACTCCATGCCAGGAATTCAGTAGTGACAAGACAACGGACAGTCTCTTCACTTGTGGAATTTGCAGGGTAGCCGGAAAGATGGACACCAAGGCAGCAATTATGAGTGTGATGTATCATCTAGGGGCAAGCAAGGGAAGGAAAGCAAAATGAGAGCCAGAAACAAAGAGGTGTGGGAGAAGCAGTCCTAGATCAGGCACAGGATAGGGAAGCTGTTGGTCTCAGTCAAAGAGCTAAGGAGTATGGATTCTCCCATAGTGCTTTGCACAGTCTCTGGGCTGCCCAGCATGCATTCCACAGGCAATGTTTCCGTGGGTCTCTCGGCCCTGCATGGACCATGCTGTACTCTGCTTCACATGCCCATGGCCTCGTGTGGGTCCAGCAGGTAACTGGTACTTGATAGATGTCTGCTAAGTAATAATAATGAAAGTTCTGGGAGGTGCCTGGGTGACACAGTTGGTTAAGTGTCCAACTCTTGGTTTCGGCTCAGGTCATGATCTCAGAGATGTAGCCCTGCCTCGGGCTCCACACTCAGCACAGAGTCTGCTTAAGATTCTCTCTCACTCTCTCCATCTCCCTCTGCCCCTCCCCCCTCCCTGCTCTCACACACACGCATGCACTCTCTCTCTGAAGATAAATAAACCTTAAAAAAAAAAGTTCTGATAGCACCGACTAGCTTGAGATGATGGCTGATTTTTTATGTTTTACTATATTTAGTTCAAGTTAGGTGGACCCTTTCCTGAAGAGGAGGAATTTGAAAGATCACCTTTTCTTCACGGTGTGTTTTCTCAGGCAGAAGGTAGATGTGTGTGTGGCTGCTCAGAGCTGGGCTGTACACAGACAGCAGAGGCAGCCGATCGCTCCCTGGATGAGAAGCCTCATGGTGGAGCAGCTCCTTGGGGTTAAACTCTTATTTAATCAGCTGCTCTTGTCACAGTAGTAATAAGATCATTAGCCGGGCCTCTCTTAGAACCAAGGCTGGAAGGAAAGAGCCCTAAGAAAGGAAAAGACCCTTAGACTGGGACAAGGCCTTCCTAAAGAGGAGTGTAGATGAAAGTCTGTCTGTCAGGAGGGCCTGGCCTCTGAAAGATGGAGCAGGGACCCAACAGGGCAGACGGGGACTGGGATGGAGAGACAGGCAGGGAAATCACCTCTTCCACCCCTTGGTTGAGCCAGGCCAACAATAAAAAAAAAAAAAAAAAAAAGTTAGAAAAACTAACTTAACACATTAACAGATCCTTATTCCTAGAATAACTTCCAGACCATAGGAACTGTTCATACCTTAGAAGTCCACTTGGCAAAACTTCTGGAACATTCAGATTTTTCAAGTTGTAGTAGTTGGACAATCTTGCTTTTAAGGAATGGCCTTTTAATGTCAGATTCATTTCCCACATCCCTAAGGGTCCTATAGCGGCTGAGGATGACAGAATTATCATGGTCATTCCATCTGCCCTCTCTTTTCAGAAAGAAAACAATGTTACATTTTGCTTTTTGATAAAAGTAGTAAAACCATGTCTCTAAAAATCCTGCATGATGAGAGAGGCAGACAGGCATCTTTTTCTCTCTCTCTTTTGCTGTTCTTCAGAAAACAAAACCAGAGGGACGCCTGGGTAGCTCAGTCGGTTAAGCGTCTGCCTTCGGCTCAGGTCATGATCTCAGGGTTCTGGGATCGAGCCCCACATCGGGCTCCCTGCTCCATGGGGACTCTGCTTCTCCCTCTTCCTCTGCCTACTGCTCTGCCTACTTGTGCTCTATCTCTCTGTCAAATAAATAAATAAAATCTTTAAAATTAAAAAAAAAGAAAGAAAACAAAAGAAAAACAGAATCTAGAGAGGTTAAGTCACTGCTCCAAAGACACACAGCCAGGAAATGCCAAGCTGAGAGGAGAGCCTGGGTCTGTTGATTCCTAGCCTAACTCATTCCCACACCGCCCTACCACTATAGTTAATGTCATGTGTTAATTTGTCTGGCCACAAGGGGCCCAGATTAAATATTATTCTAGGTGTATCTGTGAGGTGTTTCCAGATGAGATTCGCATTTGAGCTGGTGAACTCAGTAAGGCAGATCACCATCCCCAATGTGAATGGGCCTCATCCAACCCACTGACAGCCTATTTAGAATAGAAGATGGAGGAGGGGAAAAGATGGCGGAGGAGTAGGGGACCCTATTCCAAC